TTTTAGTCTCCTTTAGCCTCCACTCTGGCTGCCAGGTAAACCAGTTTCATTTTACAAGCTGGTTACATTTTTTAAGCCAAACAGCAATTTTGTATTAAAAAGTACTTTTAACAATTTTTCCTTTTACATTTTTAAATCAGGTCAACTCGACCCACATCATAATGGGAGGGTTAAAGCCCTTTTCACACATTAACATCTGTTAATATGACAGCATCTATGTATGAATCTGCACCTTTGTCACTTTCATTTGAAAAAAAAAAACCTGTCATTGATTCAGCTCCTGAACTTCCCATTTAATGTACATTTTTTCATATATTTCTAATAATCTTGCTGTCAATAACAACTGACAATAAGACAACAAATTTTTAACTTCATTAAATTGAAAATTATGTATGTCAGTGTAGTAGTGTTAAATGCTTACCAGGTTCAGATGCAAATGAGGAAACTCCACTCTGCTGGACCAGATGGAGTGAGTCCCCTCAAGGCCTGTGCCCCCCAGCTTTCTGGAGTCTTCCATAAACTGTTCATGCTGAGTCTGAAGAGGGTCCCAGTGCTGTGGAAGACATCAAGCCTCGTCCCTGTACCAAAGACGCCACGTCCCAGTGGCCCCCAGGATTACAGGCCTGTGGCACTGACCTCCCACATCATGAAGACCCTGGAAAGGCTCATCCTGGACCAGCTCTCACCCATTGTCAGACCACATCAGGATCCCATTCAATTTGCTTACCAGCCCCGTCTCACAGGACGCCATCATCTATCTGCTCAATCGTGTCTACATCCACCCAGACCAGCCGGCGAGCACTGTGAGGTTCATGTTTTTTTTACTTTTCCAGTGCTTGGTGATAAGCTAACAGCGATGCAGGGGGATGCTTCTCTGGTGTTCTGGATTGTTGATTACCTGACAGGAAGACCACAATATGTGCGTCTTCCACATTGTGTGTCTGACAAGGTAATCAGCAACACAGGAGCACCATAAGGGACCATCCTCTCCCCCTTCCTCTTCACCCTCTACACTACAGACTTCAGTCGCTGCACAGAGACCTGCATCTTCAGAAGTTTTGATGTAAATTTGTAAGTTTTGATGTAAGTAAATTTGCGGTCAATTTAGACTCAATTCAAAATCTCCTACTTGGGACAAACACTAAATGTAAATAGCTGACTTTCTAAATAAACCTATCCATCTTTGCAAGGTCAATTTTTGCTTTCATTAAATTCCAAATGTTTAGCCATAATTAGCTTAGCTGTCCTACTCTTGTTACTGCTCTTTCCTACTGCTGTTACAATCGAATGAACATCTCTGCAAAGATAAATTAGCTGAGACCTTAGGTTGATGGTAGTTACTAGCAAACACAGAAACTTACATACACTATATAGTACAGTTCTATGATACATCACCAAATAGAACAATTTGTGGCAATGCAGACAAGCAGAGAAACAGTTTAATTAGTTGAATTTGTTCACTTGATCGGAGGTGTGTTTCCTGCAGATATACATCATCGGATCTCAATGATTTTAAATGAGTAAAAACCCTTGTGCGTTTAACCGGATTATTTATACCTTTAACATTCCAGCTTATAAAACGAAGAGCAGATGACTTTGCGAGCTTGCCATTCAGGTACCAAAATGCAGGTGCAGAAAAAATATGTCCCAACCTCTGGAATAATAAATCTTTCGTGCTTGAATCGATACGGTCCAATATGCTCTTTTCAGAGCTAGCAATAGCTCTCATAATCTCACTCATGTCATGGGCTGGTGCCTCCGGTCTGTCCTCAGCATGGTCCTGTCAGGATCTGACGGCGCCCTGACCGGTCGACCTGCC